CATACAGGAATTCCAGATGACGACTTACAGGAATTCCAGATGACTTACAGGAATTCCAGATGACTTACATGAATTCTAGATGACTTACAGGAAGTCCAGACGACTTCCAGGTAAGTCGTCCCAGAAGTCTTCCAGATCTAAAAAACATGCATTTCAAGCTCAGATCTGAAAAACCTGCATATCAAAAAACATTCAAATGGCTTAAAACACACATAAAATGAGTGAAAAAATAGATATACGTACTTTTATAGAACACACAACATACATATCCAAATGAAGATGAGAACCATTTGATTAAAAATTTGCAAAAAAAAAAAGATAGATTAGTGAGAAAAACATGAGACAAAACAGAAAAATTCATATAAAGTTAATAGATCTATCTTTAAATGAGTGGAATATGAGAATCATGTGATGAAAAAACCTACAAAAAAATATAAATTAATGAGAAAGACATGAGACAAAAACAATAAATTGATATAAAGTTTGGTGTTTATAAGTTCATAGAGATTATAGAGAGGTTGGAGAATTCTAGAAAGATGAACATTACATTGTTGTTGCAGACATTTGAGAGGAGGAGAGAGAATGTGTAATTTTTTCTTTATATAGAGAAACAAAAAAATTAATTAATTTTCTATTCAGATGACTGAAATGTAAGTGGTCCAGGAGACTCTAATAATTTTAGCGGGAAACTAAAATATTTCTAAGGGGAAACTAAAATAGAAGACTTTGTAGATGACTTACAAGTACGTCGTCCAGCCAGAAGACTTACAAGTAAGTCGTCCAGAAGACTTACAAGTAAGTTGTCTGGTTTAAATTATTCAAGCGAGAAAATAAAAAAATTTAAAATTTTAGGCGGGAATAAGTCGTCTGTGTAAAATTATTTACCAGACGACTGATATTTCAGTCGTCCAGACCCTAAACCCTAAACTAAATAGACTAAATCAACTAAATAACCACGTTATAAAACTAAATTATACTTAAATAGTGTTTACTATTCACAGACATAAACACACTTAGGTAAATTTTAAATTTTTCAAAAAACATTTATGCTTCCGAAAATCTAACCCTAAGAAACACATACAATACTACAACATATGTTGGCAAACCCTAAAACAAAGAATATCATGACTCACTACTTTCACTCATCTATGTTAAAAATAATTAAATTTTGTTCTATCTTAATTTATATCTCTTAAAACTGGTGTTAATAACATGATTTCAATTTTTCACTTATCTAAATATTTTTTACAAATTTTTTAAATTATTTTTAAGAATAACTATACTAGACGACTTTCAACTAAGTCGTCTGGATATAATAGTTACGGGGGTTATAAAGGTAAAATATATTAGGTTTTTTATTTGTTCACAAGGGGCTGGTTGTATTTTTAATAGCTTGTTAGGTTACTTTTGCATTTGATTCATGTTTGGGTTTACTTTTGCATTTGAAACCAAGTTTTGAGTCATATTTGGCAAATTTACCAATAATCAATCAAAGCATTTCGAAGAGAGAAATGAGGTTTTTATTTTATTTTAGTTATATATATTACAGTTTATAAAATTATTATATTTTAATACCTAATTATTGGTACTTATATTTTAAGAAGTTTAATATATATATATATATATATTAGATATAATTAAAATTTTATGTTTTGCATTAATGTTTTGTTTATGCAGATAATAAAGATTATCAAAAGTAAAAAACTATTATATAAATAAAAAAATACTTGATATTAAAATAAAATTGTGAATAGTGTTCGCTCAAATTTAAGGAAATAATGTTTATATCCTCATTTTTTTTCTTTCAAAACAAAATACTATTAGAAATGAATTCTCTCATTTTTTGTTATTTTCCTTCAAAATAAAATATTATTAGAGATGCTCTTAGATGACAACGACGAATCATTGTCTCAAATTACCACTGCATGAGTTTTGATATTTATCATTATCAAACGATTTTTTATTTTGGTTTGCAATGATTTCATTTAATTAAATATGTATTCAAGATTCAGTTATTTTGTTTTCGCTTTTACGATAACTATTTAGAGAGATTAATTATTATATATATATATATATAGTAAAAAGAAAACTCGATTCGACTGCTCAAAAAATCCAACCAATTAACTAATAGCTGTACCGAATCATTAATTATCCGGTCCGGTTTCAAAACATTTTATACTATACGCTTTTACAATTGTCTAAAGTGTTACCAAAGGTTGCATTTACAATTGTCTCAAAAAATATTATGTTATTTTAATACTTGTTATGATACAGAAATATCTTAAAAATTGTAACAAAAAAGTGTGTACGTACTTCTTGGCTAACAAAGAAAAAAAATGTGTACCTCTTGAAGGTAGAATTCTGAGCTTTTTTAGGTTAGGTGTTAGAATATTTTTCACATATATAATCAAGCAAGAGACGTGGAGGATTCAAGAAAATGTTAATTTTCTAATTCATATTAATAGATATTTACCAAGTTTTATTGTTTTCCATTTAGTTCCTAGTCAAAATTGATAGGGAATATTTTTCTTCTACCGTTCCATATACGAAGAGGAATCATGAGGAATTATGTGTGTTCCATTTATGTCAAAAATTACTAGTGAATGGTAAAATAAAAAAAGGAATCAATAGGAATAAATCATTCCCTCTTGTTCCTTAAGTTTCAAGTGGTCACCATTTAGACCCAGAGTGTTTCTTAGATTCACTCCATAGAGCGGTTCACCAACTAATAATAGTTTATCATTTTATATATAATTTTTAAAAAACAATAAGAATTTATCAAATTATATTCTATTTTAAAATAAAAAATACAAAATTATACTAGCTGGAAAAGAAAAAGATTTTTTTAATATTGTTAACTTCATTAGCAAAACATTAAACCTTACATTCTAAAGAATCAACCCTAAACCTTTAAGTAAATCCTAAACTTTTAGGTTATTAAATTTGTGGATAAATTCTAAAGGTTTTCTTAGTGTTTAAAGTTTAGTATTTAGGATTTAGTGTTTATGATTTAGGGTTTATGATTTAGAGTTCAAGATTTATCCAAGAATTTAAAATTTACCAAAGATTTAAGATTTAATGTTTATGATTTAGAGTTTAATGTTTTGTTAGCAGTGTTAACAATGTAAACAAATTCCTTTTTCGGTAGCTAATATTTTTTTATTTTAAAAATATAATATAAACTCTTATTATTAATTTTTAAATTATTATTGATCGGTGAACCAAGAAAAAAAATATTTTTAAAAAAGGAGTTGCATTAAAGCCACCTTAACGTCATTAAGTTGAACTCAGACCTTTATTGAATCTACGAGGTGAATAGAAATTAGAATGAATCTATATTCTCCTTGTTCATTTTGTTTTTAACCCTGAACTAGATTTTGATCCATGCAATTGTGCATGTGTTCTTTTTCAGTGTTATAAATATATATATTTTTTATTTCCTTAGTGATATACAATTTTAGGGTTAACCACATATTTAAGTGTTTATATAACTATTTCAAATATAATAATTTAATAGTTTATATTGTGTAATTAATCAATAGTTTAAAATCATCATATGTATTTGTCGCTTTTTATTATATATTTATGTTAATTTATTTTGATTTAGTTATTAAATGCATGAACACATATTAAAAATTATTTTGTATTAAATTTATATTCAATTCTGATTCGACAACATTCAAAGTCGTATTTCCTTTTAGCAATATTTTCTCACGTTTATTCGTTAAAAAAGTATATTCTTTGTATATACAAATCTAAGATATGTCAATTTTTGTACATGTTTCATATGGTTTGCGAATGTTAAGTCGTTATGTTACTGTATCAAATTTTTAGCATAAATATTTTATATTTATGAAAATAAAATTATAAATTTATCAATTTACTATAATTTATCATATCTAATTCAATATAATATTTTATTTTAACATGAATTATTATTATTATAAAATAGATAACAACAAGATAATATTTTTATGTTTCATTTTATAAATGATAATTGAATATATATTGATTCATAATAATAGTTCATTGCTAATTACAAAATTATTTAAAATATTTACATAAACTTCATGAAAATTAAAATATTGTTAAAATATTTCTCAACTGATATGTTAGTATTATCTATATATATATATATATATATATATATATTAAAATGAAAAGATATCATGATTAAAAGAGTTACTAACATTTTATATTATTAGCTTTAATGAAATACATGTTATTTTTTATACATGCATTTTATAGTTTGTGAATGTTAATCCTTGTTACCAACATATTATATTCTGAACATAAATACTTCTCAAAATAAAGTATCTAAATTTAATAATTTGATATAGTTTATTATATTTATTTAAAACTTTTCTTCTACATTTTATAAAATATATTAATGTATAAGAATATTTTAGAACTAATTACAAATTATTAACATATTTACTCAGAATTTTTGAATATTAAGATCTTGTTAAAATCTTTTAAATAGCTTTTAAAAAATATATATATTTATATTTATAATGAAAAGATATCAAAAGATATTATTATGATTATAGTAATTTAAAAGATGGTCCAAATTATAAAAAAAATCACACATGAAAGAAGTCATGATATTTATTTTAATAGATAAAATATTTTGTTTTCATTTTTTTTTTCATTTGCAATTTTTTATTATATATTTTCAAGTTAGTTTTCCATTTTTATTATTTTTCATTCGCGACTTTTTTCTCAATATTTCATATTTTTACCACCCTCTCATTTATATCTATTTATTTATTCGTTGTGTTATTTTCCTTTATATTTTATTCCATGTACTTGGAATTCTTTTGGTTTCTTGTTTGTGCTAACGCCAAGCATTTTTCTTTGTCAACAAAAAACGAAAGTTTGCCCATACGAACTACGAAGAAATGACGTCTATAAAATAATACATATGTATTTCGAGCAGTGATTATATTATATAAAGAAGTGTACCAAGTTCATTTTTAATGAATTAATGCAAGGCCCGTGTTAGCCGAGTTGTCTATATAAACGCATAGATACCATAGAGCTCATACACACAAATCATTGTTCACAATACTGCCCAAAAAGAGAACAAAAACGAATCAAAACTTGACAAATGGCTCCTGCTTCAAACTCAATCAGTTCTCAGCGCGTGGCAGTGATCGGAGCCGGAGCAGCCGGTTTAGTAGCTGCCAGAGAACTCCGTCGTGAAGGTCATACCGCTGTTGTCTTTGACCGGGAGAAACAAGTGGGAGGTCTCTGGGTTTACACACCTAAGGCCGAATCTGACCCGCTAAGCCTCGACCCGACCCGCCACGTCGTCCACTCGAGTGTCTACGAGTCTCTCCGGACCAACCTCCCGAGAGAATGCATGGGTTTCAGGGACTTTCCCTTCGTGCCACGTGGCGATGATGTTTCAAGAGACCCGAGACGGTATCCAAGCCACAGGGAAGTTCTTGCGTATCTTCAAGACTTTGCTAGAGAGTTTAAGATAGAGGAGATGGTCCGGTTCGAGACGGAGGTTGTTCGGGTCGAACCGATCAATGGGAAATGGAGAGTTCTGTCAAGAAACTCTGGTGGTTTATCAGAGGATGAGATCTTTGACGCCGTCGTGGTTTGCAGCGGTCACTATGCAGAACCTAGCGTTGCTCAAATTCCTGGTAAAAATAAACAATTGATAAATTGTTATATATTTCTATTTTCGTTTCTGATCTGTTTCTTATTTATTTCTGTGTTTCAATCTTTCAATGATTATTAAAGTAACATCATTGAAAAATAGATGGTTTAAATTGAGATCTTGATTAAATTTTTTTTTTGACTTGAATCAAAAGATGACTAATCATATTCATGAGATTTATCGATTCTGAATAAAAGATGACACAATCATAATCATATTCACAAGATTCACTTGACCAATTGATTTTATGCTAAATCAGTTATTGTTTTACAAAAATCAAAAATACTATTTTTTCTTTTATTCATCATACTATTTTTGGTTCTGACGTACTAATAATATTGTATAGGAGTTGAGTCATGGCCTGGGAAGCAAATTCACAGCCACAATTACAGACTTCCCGATCCATTTGAAGATGAGGTATACTCTCAAAATCCATTATGTGAACTCATAATATCTTCAATAATTTTCTTAGAAAACCTTAATTCTTGGATATTAGTACTAAAAAGAACCTAAAATCTTGGAGCTCTGACGTACGGAACAAGTCTTTAACTCTTAGAAAACGAAAAGGTTACATAACACGTAGTTTGTTTTTTTGTCAACACGCTAAACACGTAATTTAGATTTTCTAGATAACAAACAATATTCAAATAGAGAATCCTTTTGTTAAAAAATACTATTAAATAGCGGATGTGGAAAGATACGTGTTGGACGACGAAACTTAAGGAGATGTTTTTCTCAAAAAAGGAAAAAAAAGAATAAAAAACTTAGAGATGACGTTGAGATATTCTCATTAGTTTCCATATAAAACTATTATTTTATTATAAGTTACTTATATAATTAAAATTAAAGTATAAATAAAATTAAGGTAATTATACTATTGAAATTTAAGTATAAATAATATGTGAGAGATGCGTATCTAAAGTTTTAAAAAATTTAAAAATATATATGTTTTTCATTCTCTTTGCATTTTTCATAGTTTATTTTGTATTAATATAATAGATCCACTAAAATACCAAAGTTTGAAATATTCTTACAGACTATAAACGACAAAAACATTTAGTGATAATGAAAGTATTGTTATATTTTTCTTATTGGTATCAAAGGTTTATTATATATATATATATTAATATATTTCCCGATTTTTATAGTTGTTTCTTTGCTTATTCGATTCCATATGTTGTTAGTGAATAAATTCATTTCGTTTGTCGACCGCAGAAAATATCGATGAGCTTCTTTGAAAATGTTTTATAGATATGTAGACTTCAGACGTTACGTAATGTAACTGATCTCATTTTCTTTTTGTCAAACGTAACTGATCTCATTACTCTTTAGATCAAGTTATATGAATAGGTCTCAAAGCCTTTGATATATAATATAGTTCATCATCTTACAGCATCTTTAGTGGTAAATCTCTCATATTTAGTTTCTTAGCAAAATTATGTCAATATTTTAACCTTGAATTAAATATAAATGCTTAAAAATTATTGCACCATCAGAATAGAGACATGTGTTAACTAAATATCTCTGACATTTTTAAAAGTCTTTTAATAGAAAGATTAACTTTTCAAAATTTCACTGCTTCTCTCCTGTTTTTATTTTTCTAATAATTTTTGTTGATGAAAAATCATGGGAACTCTTAGAACATGATTATCTAGATGTTTTATGGAGGTTTTTTAACAAATGAAAGGGGGTGGGGCCCACCATTTTGCCTAACAATCAGTTGTCAAAATGCTGAAATAAAAACATGTTACTATATTATTTGTAAGTTCTACTAATGGCAATCCATAATTGATTTTTTTTTAATAAGACAAAAAAAAAGAAAAAAATAAGAACCCTTAATGGGGTTTCCAAGATAATCATGGCCTTAGAGTAGATATAAGATATGTGTAGTTCGTATTTTTGTCAACTAGTTTAAGTTTTTGAGATGGGCTTGTATCTGTAGTGATCCCCCTTCCTACAGACGAATGTTCAATTCTCTGCCAGCACAAGTAGTACTATGACTCTTCAAAAGAATTAATTAATTTTCTCAGAAAAACTAATTTAATTTTCTCACCATCTCTAATAGATTACTTTGTGTCTCTCTTCAAAATAGTATAAATCTATAGTATACTTAAGTTATATACTTCAATGATATTCTATTTTTAGAATGAAATAAACAATAGGTGAATTATTCTGATTATAAAATAAATATATTTTCACTCTATTATAGAGTGAAAAAATAGAGTATGATTAAAAAAATTTAATTTAAACTCTATTTTAAAGTTTAAAACGTGAGGTTATAGACACTCTTATAAAATAAAAGTCCAATTTGTTCCGAAAAAATAACCATAGCATATCCACTAACTTGAAAATCCTAGCCCAGCCCAGCCCATTATTTGAAACTTTCTTCTTGGCAGCCATTTTTGAAACTTGGAAGCCAGCACTGTATTAGGAGTATACATTATATTCTACTACATGTGTATTAAGAATTTAGTCAGTGAAATTATTTGTAATTTTCTTACATAGGTCCATATATCAATGTGCAGGTGGTGGTGGTAATAGGAAACTTTGCGAGCGGGGCAGATATTAGTAGAGACATATCTAAAGTCGCAAAAGAAGTTCATATCGCAACTAAATCAAGTCCTGATACATACGAGAAGCTTTCCGGAGATAAAAACAATCTCTGGAAGCATTCTCAGGTAAAAATATTAAAATAGTTAATGAGATTTGTTCAAAACTGATTGTAAAATGGTTGCGCCAATTAACCCTTATGTTATTTGAAATCTTGTAGATAGACATTGCCCGTGAGGATGGTACGATTGTTTTCCAAAACGGGAAGGTGGTACATGCCGATACCATTGTGCATTGTACAGGGTACAAGTATTACTTTCCATTTCTAGACACTAATGGTTATATGAGTGTCGATGACAATCGGGTTGAGCCTCTCTACAAGCACATCTTCCCACCCGCCTTTGCTCCTGGACTTTCCTTCATCGGTTTGCCAGCAATGGTTAGTCTCAACCAAAACAAATCATTTAACTCCTTTTTGATCTTTATAAGACTCATCTCTTCATTTGATCTTCAGGGTCTACAATTCTATATGTTTGAAGTCCAAAGCAAATGGGTTTCTGCAGTTTTGTCTGGACGGGTTACACTTCCTTCAGTAGACAAAATGATGGAAGATATGATGTTGTCATATGAAACACTAGAAGCTTTAGGTATACCCAAAAGATATACACATAAGTTGGGTAAATCTCAGGTAAAATTTGTTATATTCTGAATATGAATATTATAATATGGAATGGAAAAGGAATATAGTTTAAATATTTTTCTCCTAATTAAAAAACTCTTTTCTTCTCGCAGTGTGAGTACCTCGACTGGATTGCAGACGAATGTGGGTTCTCGCATGTTGAGCACTGGAGAGATCAGGAAGTAGTTCGTGGTTACAAGAGACTTGTGGATCAGCCTGAGACTTTCCGTGATGAATGGGACGACGATGACCTCATGGAAGAAGCATACGAGGATTTTTCAACACAAAATCTGATCAATTTTCATCCTTCTCGTTTCCTCGAATCTGGAAGATGATGCGTCTAGTGTCAACTTGTCTTCGGGCTGGTTTAATAAAGTATAATATAAGAGTGTGAGGGTCAGCTTGACAAAGGCTCCCTGTTGTTTCAAGTCTGCATTTAAGTTCTTGGTGCCTAAAACCTTTCGTTCAAAGGACCAATATGTTAAGAATAAAAGTATGTAACTAATTTCGAGAACTTTCAGTTAATAACCGGTCCATTTATGTAATTGTTTGTTTTTTTTCTTCAGTCGAAATCAAAGAGTAATCTTTAGAATGTATGCATGAATTTGTAATATGCCAAGAATCATATCTTATCTGTTTACTCTTTTTTTGTTCAACATCTTATCTGTTTACTTTGTCCACTATACATCTAGTGAAATTCTATGTGTTCATGGTATAATAGGAATAACCATTTGTAATGGGACTCCAAATTCCATGTCAACTGGGATGGAAAAAAAAACTGAAATTCTTATCGGATCTTATCTTTAAAAATACTTGATATGATTCTGCAAGATGATAGTTTGAGTATCACCCAAATCCAAATAGGTATTAACAGAGCCGTCCCTTGGGTCAAGCCAAACAAACCACTGTTTCAGACCGTTTTATTCTAAACATAATTTTGGCCACAAAATTTCAAAACGTTGTTTTGGTTTAGTGGTAAAATTCGAATCCAAAGCCTCTCTTTGTCCAACCATGGTTCGAACCTCTCCATAAAAACGGTGAATTTTTTTAAATTTGCTTCTGGCCCTGATTTTCCTAGAACCAGCTCTGGGTATTAAAATAAGTTTATATAAATATTTGAAGATTTGAATTACTAAAATTAGTAATTGAATTTTAATCAAATATTTAATTTTATTGTTATCTAACCTAAAAACTTGGATATAAATTATGATAATTAAATTCAAATATTCTATAACTTTTCAACTCTGAAATATTATAACCATATAAACATATATAAAATCCGAGGGAAAATGTACATCTCAAACTTATATATTATTATAAATCTCTCTATAATAGTTTTGTTGAGTAAAATCTACTATAATCCACCTTTAGAAAATAGAGATTGTTTGTCTTTATAATTCAAACCACTATAAGAAAAACGCCTTTTTTTGAGAAAATAACAAAATGCATTAAAATGGTCTAAAGCCTCAAGGGTTGAACCCAAAAATCAGAATCCGTATCCAAATAATATCCGTTTCGTGCGGTTTTAGACATTTCGTGTGTGACAACTAGGCGGCCACACCTACGTACGATACAATTTTGTCTTGTGACGGTCTAGTTTATCTTTGATTGTACTACATAAAACGCTGCGTTTAAACTACATCTGAAAAGTACACTTGTGGTTCAAATATTCGTATACTTATCACAGTGAACGCTGCGTTTAACATTCCTCCGTCCCTTACCAATCTCGTAAACACCAATATGGCACCTTCCTTTTCACCACCGCTCAGATCTCACCACGTGGCTGTCATCGGTGTAGCAACCCGGGCCCGGCCCAACTTGAGACCCATTTGCAAGAGGCCCAAGAAGAGGGAACCCTAGGTCAACCCCCCCTCACACCCTATAAAAAGAGTTGCCTCCCTAGGGTTGAGACACAAGAGAGTGAGCAAGCGAAGCCCTGCCGGAACAAGACCCCGCCGCCGCCCTCGCCTCACGCCGTCGACCAGCCGCCGCCGCCGCCTACCGCCGGGAGCCGCCGCGCGAGAAGCCCTAGCTGCCGGACCCGAGCCCCGAGTCGCCGTCTTCGCGATTCCGTAGCGTGTAACCATCTAAGATCCGATCTGTAAGGTAAGGGCTGGAACCCTAATCTTCTCTCATTCTAAGAGTGACAGATCTGAAACTAAACCCCCTTCTTCTCACTCTTGTGTCGGGAAAACCAGATCTGCGTTGTTGGACCCTTTCTTCTTATTCCCAGATCCAGATCTACGTCACCAAACAAGCTAAGGTGAGGACTTGGATGTGAACTTGTCTCATGTTGAGTAATCCAATGGGGCATAGTCTTTTGTTAATGAGATCTAGATCTTGTTGTGTGAATGAAGTGTTATGTGATAGTTCTAGGTTGAATGTGAAGTGTGCTATGTGTTGATGTGATGAACGCTTAGAAGTGATAGAATAAGAATGAACCGATGTGAAGTGATATGATAGTATGGCTGTAAAGTTGAGTTTAAGTCTAAGATTAGACGGATAAGAAAGTGAATGAGAATGAGTATGAGTATGAGAAAGAGGATGAGGATGTGAATGAGAATGGTGTAGTACTAATGAACATGTTCTAAGTCCTGTTTGGGCCACCGAGAACGGGTGGGCGTCTAGTGTCTAGGATGTGTTGGCCCAACGGAGGATGTTCCCATGGGCGGAAAGTGAAAGGCCGTGTACGGACGGTGACCGCCGAGACGGGGTAAAGTTAGGAATAGGCGCCTTAAGATCAAGTCAATGCTGAATCGTGGCAAATTGTGACCATCTGACCGTGTACGGACGGGAGCCGCGGGTAGACAGTGTTGCACGTGGGCCTACGGGTGACGCACGTGGACCAACGAGCTTCCCGCGGGTGGTTACTAGGAAGCTGGAGGGGGGAAATGGTTTCTCTTAAATGAGCACCCCTTTCAGGATAGGACGGAACGGGTGTGGGACATCCGTAAACGGCCATAGGTCCTAGAGGTCTAGGTGCTTGCTATCGAGTTAGTCTTGTTTGTTGCATAATACATCCTATTAACTTATGACTGTGTTGATTGGTTGTTCTTCTTGAGTTGAGTTCGTGGGTCCCCGGAACCACCCTCACTGAGTCGTATGTACTCACCCCTCCTCTTTTCAGGTATGGCCGAGAGGGAGCAGGAGTAGGAGTTCGTGTGGTGCAAGCATTTCAACTCTCGTTTTCTTTATTTCTTCCAGTAATTCTTTTAGTTATTTGAGATCTTTCGAAACTCTTGGTTGAACGGTTTTTAAGTTGAGAACGGAGTATGTTAGACGATTTGGGTTTTTAATAAAGTACTTTTGGATAAAATGTGGAAAAGTCAAGGTTTTGCGTAGAATCCTAGGGACAGGGTTGTTACAATCGGAGCCGGAGCCGCCGGTCTAGTTGCGGCGAGAGAGCTTCGTCGGGAAGGCCACTCAGTCGTGGTCTTCGAGAGACAGAAACAAGTCGGAGGAACATGGATCTACACCGACCACGTGGAACCAGACCCGCTAAGTGTTGACCCGACCCGACCCGACCGGTAGTTCACTCGAGCGTCTACGCCACTCTCCGTACGAACCTCCCTCGAGAGTGCATGGGATACAGAGACTTCCCGTTCTCGGTCCGGTCGGGCGATCAGAGGAGGTTTCCGAGCCACAGAGAGGTTCTTGCGTATCTTCAAGACTTCGATAAGGAGTTTGAGATCGAGGAGATGATACGGTTCGAGACGGAGGTTGAGAGGGTTGCTCCGGTGGCGACGGAGGGTGGGAGCGGAAAGTGGAGGGTTGAGTCTAGGGAGAAAGAGAAGAGAGTTCGTCGTGATGAGGTTTATGATGCTGTTGTTGTTTGCAATGGACATTACGTTGAGCCTCGTCTTGCTGAGATTCCGGGTAAGGAACGTTGGAACTAAAGTGTGTTTTGTCTGGAAGCATTTTTGAAAAAGTGGAATATTTAGTGATAAGTGGAGTCTGAACCATAACTTAGATTCTATTCTTGAAGTTTCAGCCTTTTTTAGTTTAAAAAAAAAAAAGTTTCAGCCTTTTCAATTTCATGTAACTTTAACTTTTATCTTTTCATATATGAACATGTCCAATCCCACTGCATATTTTACTGCAAAATGGAGTGAAGAATGGAGTAATGAAGAAACAAAAATCTATTTACTCCATATTTGGAGTAATCACTTTTTTGTTTCTTCATCACTCCATTTCCCACTTCATTTTGCAGTAAATTATGGAGTGGAGTTGGAGATGCTCTAAGGATGTAGAAGGCTGAATAGGATATTGGTTCTTATCATAACAGGATCCAAATCCAAATTGGTACCTAAAAAAATCCAAAAACCAAATAAGTACCCTAAGATCTAAATTGTACCCGAATAAACAAGCTAAGTACCGCAAATACCCAATTTCATTTTTGTTTTGATATGACCTATAATAATACTGGAACCCAAAGTTCTGTTATCTGAATCTAGACTAAGTTCTGTTTCAAAAGCGGGTTTACATATGGTTCTAAATTATATCCAAACTCGAAAGTTTTAACTAAGTCTCACCCGATCATATATAAAACCTCTCCTGGATTTAGGAAGCTGGCTGGGAAAACCTGATCCAAACCCGGGTTACATGTTTCCATAGAAACTGATGCTTGAATGATTAGCTTGATAGTGATTTTCTTTTCAGGGATAAGTTCTTGGCCAGGGAAAGAGATGCATAGCCATAACTATCGCATCCCTGATCCTTTTAAAGATCAGGTACTCTTTAATAATGTTAGACTAGGTGTTTTTTAAATAAAATGCAGCGATACAATTTTAAATTTAAATTATATTTAAAAATAAAAACTGTGAGTATTTATATTTTACTATTCTATACCAATATTTTAGTTAGACATAAATTAAGATAAAATAATTAATTTGTTTATTTTAATTTATATTTAAGAATATATATTAAAATTATAATCTTAGATAGATTTTCATTTATTTCATTTGGTTAAGGTAAATTATATCAACTTACATAATTTATAAATGATATAAAATTTTGATAATTATAAAAAAAAAGTTACATAAAATTTCTACAAATCGTAGATATCAAAAGGAAACAAATGATTTTAGGATTAAAAAGTTATAACTTTATAAAAGATTGTATAAAATATTGAAAATCTTATTTAGTAATAAAAATTATCTATTTAAAAATAGATTTAATTAATATTTTAAATTTGTAAAATATTTTAGATTATTAATGTCATATTTGAATATTATTTTAATGATGACGTATTACCATATTATTAAATGTTTACCAAAAGAAATCAAAATTAAATGTAATTAGCATGTCATATTTAGTCAAAAGTTATGTCAACAATTCTATTATGCATTGTCATCTCTTTTTAGTGCAATTGATTGTAGAGATGACATGTGTCAAATCACTATGCAAATAATGTCTAGGATTTGTTAAGCTTTCTTATGTGAAAGATCATGTAATGCCATAATTTCATGTGGAAGCTTGTGATGCATTGGTTATACAGGTTGTTGTGCTTATTGGGAACTCTGTAAGTGGCTTTGATATAAGTAGAGATATTGCTGGACATGCCAAAGAGGTTCATGTGGCTTCTTGGTCAAATGCATCTGATACTTTCATCAAACAGAATGGTCATACTAACC